GGACACCGGAAGTGTTCCGGGTGATTTCGGAGAAAACCGGAGTGCCGGAGGGTTACCGGAACCCTTCCCCCCGGGAGAAGTAATGGGCCTTATGGGCCTTAGTGGAGAGAGAGAGGGCTGGCCTAGGGCAGGCCGCGCGCCCCTCCCCCTCTGGTCCGAATTGGACTAGGAGAGGGGGGCGGCGCCCCCCTTTCCTTCTCCATCTTCCCCTTCCTTTCCCCCTCCTAGTAGGAGTAGGAAAGAGGGGAGTCCTACTCCTACTAGGAGGAGGACTCCTCCTCCTGGCACGCCCTGCAAGGGCCGGCCGGCCTCCCCCTTGCTCCTTTATATACGGGGCCAGGGGGGCACCCCATAGACACAACAATTGATCATTGATCTCTTAGCTGTGTGCGGTGCCCCCCTCCACCATAGTCCACCTCGATAATACTGTAGTGGTGCTTAGGCAAAGCCCTGCGTCGGTAGAACATCAACATCGTCACCACGCCGTCATGCTGACGAAACTCTCCCTCAACACTCGGCTGGATCGGAGTTCGAGGGACATCATCGGACTGAACGTGTGCTGAACTCGGAGGTGCCGTGCGTTCGGTACTTGATCGGTCGGATCATGAAGACATACAACTACATCAACCGCGTTGTGCTAACGCTTCCGCTTTCGGTCTACGAGGGTACGTAGACAACACTCTCCCCTCTCGTTGCTATGCATCACCATGATCTTGCGTGTGTGTAGGAATTTTTTTGAAATTACTACGTTCCCCAACAAATGTACCTAGCAAGACTTACATCAGAACTAGCTACATATGGTGGTGGAGTTTAAGTGCAGCAAGCCAGCTTGACTCGGTGGCTGTCCTAAACTACGACTGCAAGTAACTCTTTCGAGGTGGCGCACACGAGTCCACATATTCACCATATCAATACACCACTATGGATCCGCTTCTGTCTCCCTACGAGAAGGCCATCCATAGCACTCACACTTATCTTGCGAGTTTTAGAGTATCAACTTTCACTTGTCTATGAACTGTACAGGCAACCCAGAGGTCCTTTACCGCGGACGCGGCTATTCAAATAGATGATCACATACGCTCTCACCACTTACCGCCTTTTACACGACATGTAGTCGGCAACCTTCAAGCGGAAGCCCAACGAGGGTGTCGGCCACGGCCTACCTAAAAACTCAAGTCTCAGTCCAGGTTTATCGCCTGTTCAGGTTCCATCCGCAGGGAGTCCGATCGAGGATTCCACATACGACTCCGAACGATGTGTACAGGGTTCTTCGACACCAAACGGGCGCCCGGCATACCCGGCCACGTGCCTACCGCATCACAGCCCACCCCTCGGGTCGGTGCTGCGCACGGCCTCCAGCATACTACAAACACCAGAAACTACTTGCAACTCCTGGACAGAGGACAAGGGTGGTTAAGAAGCCGAGAGAGTCAATTAAGGATCCCAATGTATGGTAGTAGTTGTTCATGGATCACAAACACAGAACTCAGTTCCTGAGGACGGTTTCAATGAGACAACCCACCATGTACTCCTACATGGCCTCTCACCGCTACCTTTACCAAATCGTGTTCACACACTTAGCTCTCAACAGTAAGACATGTTCACACACCTCCAATTCATCCCCGATGAATCAGACCTGACTCAACTCTAAGCAGTAGCGGGCATGACAAACAAGCATGAATGAGTAGGCACATCAGGGCTCAAACAACTCCTACTCATGCTAGTGGGTTTCATCTATTTACTGTGGCAATGACAGGTCATGCAGAGGGAAAGGGGTTCAACTACCGCAGCATGTAAGAGTTGAATTGTTGTTGTCCTAATGCAGTAAAAGAGAGCAGGAGCGAGAGAGTGGGATTGTATCGGAATGAACAAGGGGGTTTTGCTTGCCTGGCACTTCCGAAGATAGTAATAGCTCTTCATCGGTGTCATCGAACTCATCGTCGGAACCACGTTTACTGAGAGGGGACAATACCGGCAAATAAGGAAGAAACATAATCAATGCAATGAAACAATATGATGCATGATCATGACATGGCAATATGCTGTTGATTGAACTAATGCAGCTAGCAACCATATTAAATGAAGTTGGTTTGAACCCTAGGTTCAAATTCAAACCCCATATGTTAATATTCAAATGCCATTCACTTAGTTTGTCCTAAACAGTGATGTTAACATGCTCAAACATGTATGGATATGGCATAAACATATTCTTCATATTTTTCTGATCATTTTTCATATATAAATTATTTCATTCTGAGCTACGGTTGATTTTATATGATTTTTAGAAGTTTTGGGTATTTTCTGAAAATAATAAATCATTTCTGATTTATTTCAAAATTCCAGAAAGTGATTACTGCGTCAGGTTGACGTCAGGGTGATGTCAGCAAGTCAACAGGGGCGGGTCCAGGTCAAACCTGACCAGTGGGTCCCACTGGTCAGTGTCACGGTGCTAGTTAGGGTCACTGACATGTGGACCCAGTCAATGGCCACATCAGCATGGTTAATGCTGACACGTGGGGCCACTGTGATTAGTTAATACTAAGCAGAAACTAATCTAAGTTTAATTAGTCAATGGGGCCCAGCTGTCAGTGTCACTAGGTGTTGACTAAGTGCGTCATTAGCCCTAACTAATCTGCCACATCACCCTCACCGGAGTTATGCCGGCGGCGACCAAAACGCAGTGGAGGCGCACTGGAGTGGCTCGGGTTTCGCCTACAGGCCACTGTTTGACGCGCGGAAGGGCGCGTTTGAAAGAGGGAAGCGAGGCGCATCTGTGGGTGGCCGTGGTTCGAGTGGGGGTGGACGGAGTCAACGACGACGATCTCTTTTGCGGCCGCCGGAGTTTGGGCGTGCACTGAAATGGGGCTACGGAGCACGGCATGAAGATCTGGTGGGTGTGCTCGGCTCCTGGGAGTGCTCTGAGTGCAGCGGTGGGTTCGGTCGCGTGCTTGCACGACCGTAGACCCGTAGTCGCGGTGGCGACATGACCGGCGGCGAGGAGCTGTCGGCTCCGATGGCCACGGTGGCTAGAAGGCGCGGACGAGCACGGGGAGAGAGGGGAAAGAGGCAGGGGCTCACGGCGAATCCAGCAGAGGCAACAACGAGGCCGGGGAGAGACTGGAGCTCGCGAATCCCCGAAGAGTTCGCCGGCGACCAGAGGTTGAAGACGATGTCGGGGACGACGTTGCAGGGCTTCCGGCGAGGCGCGGCTCGGTGGAGAGGAAGAGGGGGTCGAGGCGGAGCCTCTAAGCGCAACGACGAGGCGAGGCAGTGGCTGTGGCCACGGCGGTGCTCGTTGGCGGCGACGGCTGCGCTCGGCGCGGGTGAGAGAGAGGGGCAGAGGGGAGAGGGGCCACGGGGAAGGGTGAGAGGGGTCAGGGGGTTGCGTGGCGTCTCTGTGGCGTCGTCTAGGCGCACTGGGGGGGAAGCCAGGCATGCAGGGAGGGAGGAGGTGGCCGGCGCGGGGCGGGCACGCGCCTCCGTCCTCGTGGCAGGAGGAAGACGACAGGGGAGGGGCCAGGTGGCTGGGCTGGCCAGCTGGGCCGGCCAGGTGGGCTTTGGTGGGTGCCAAGTAGGTATCTTCTCTCTCTCTGCTTTTCCTATTTTAGTGTCTGTTTTCTATTATTCTGTAGTCTTTAGGGCTTTACTAAAAATATTTAAACAAATCCAAAAATCATGGAACTGCTCAATGACACTGTTTGGAATATAACCAACAGCAAACATTTTAGTTTATGATTATTTGAGCATTTAAAATATTATATAGCATTTAAATGCCCAAATGCAAATAGAGTATGATTTAATTCAGTGACCCAATATTGTCCTAGAAAAATGTGAACCATTTTTGACAGAGGTTCTAGACCAAGGCAAAGATGATGAACATTATAGAAGGGCATTTCAGATTCATTGAAAAAGTATTTAGTAACCCTAGTTGGTTTAAGTGGTGTTGGGGGTTTCTGTCATCCCCATTTCAACTTTCTGAGAAAATTTAACATGATGACATAATGATCATGCAAGGACAAGCAAAGGCTAAGCTAGGGCTATGACAGTGATCTTCAACATCGTACCAAAATCAGATGAATAATTGTCGTACGCATAGCAGGTCTCTAGTTTTCATTTTAAACTACTTGATGTACGACACTACTTGTCCGATTTTAGTACAACATGCAATCCAACGGCGTGTTGCAATCGGTGCTAGGTGTCGATGGTTCGCATAGCAGTTCTCTCTAGTTTTTCTTTGAAACTACTTCATGTACGACACCACTTGTCCGATTTTGGTACACCATGCAATCCAACGGTGTGTTGCAATCTGATGCTAGGTGTCGATGGTCCGATCTTCAACATCGTACCAAAATCAGATGGTAATTGTCGTACACATAACAGGTCTCTAGTTTCTTTTCATGTTGCTGGGATAATTTTATTAGAGCCCTTGATTTGATTTGGCCGAACCACAATTACACTCACAAACCAGACTGGAGATGTAATTGGTATCTACTCGTGTGCTGAATATAGTGGTGCAGCGGTGGGGAAATCTCCCCCCCATGAAAATTCAAAAAAAAATATATAGTGGTGCAGTGTACTTCGTACTACCTCTTCTGTTTTTAAATATAAGACATTTTTGCAGTTTAAAACGTCTTGTATTAGGAACAGAGGGTTGTCAGTCATATCCTTGCCAGGTTTGCCTCTTAAGGATCCAAAACCTTGAAGTGATCCACGGCAAATGAAAATGCAAAATAGAAAATCCTTAGCAGTCGCAGTTAGGAGGTCAGAAGAAAGAACAATTTACACACCTCTTTTGTCTTTTGACCATGCGCCTCCGCAATATATTACACACCGGTCATTTGTGATATTACACCAGCCAACTCTAATAGTTGAAAAAATGAAGCAAAGTTCATGTAACAAACATTACAAGGCTTGAGAATTAAAACTTGATATAACTAATGAGAGGGGAAAGGCACAACCCATACAGCATCATATAATATGAAAACACTGGATAGTCACAATCATTTGACAGAATGACACTGACTGCATGGCTTCTTGATATTTAGCTGAACATTAGAGGGGACCTTCCCCACGATGTATTTTTCGATAGCCAAAACTGCCTTGTGGGCATCTCTGATCATACGTTTTCCTATAGGAGAGCTGCAACCACCAATTTCATGGACAGCCAACCTATCAACATGCTCATAATCAGCACCATATATGGTGTCTAGTGTAAGATTCTCGAGTGATGTTGCACTGTCAAGAATATGGCATGTTAGCTCAATCATGCTCTTTGCAGAGCAAAAGCCATCAATCTTCACGTTCTTGATACTGACGTGGTGGCGTTCTGGCATCTTTCTCAGAAGCGAGTAATCTCCAGATACAGAATCATGCTTCATGCGAGTCTGGTATACCTGCACAGGTAAAACATACATGAATTACCGGTTCCTCATATATAAGATGCCTTCACAAGACGGAAGAGCGACTTACAGACAATTCGAAAGTTTCCAACACAGGACAAGCATCCAGGAAAAAAGCTAGAGACAAATAATCATAAGCTGGGGAAAAGGCCCCTTCTGCAACAGAAAGACAAATCTCCAATAGCTTGAGGTGCAGGAATTTGGCACGTACGATTGGTGTATTAAGAACCTGCATAAAAGCATGTAGATTAATTATATTCTAAGACATGCTTATTACTACAACAGCAACATCAACAATGGCTAATCAATTAATGCTACTTACTCTTCAAGTAATAAATAGAGTTTAATGTACCTCACCAGCTGAAGAAATGATAAGAGTTTCAAGATTTGGCATAATCCGTGGAAGCTCGGCACGGGCATAATAAACGAGGTTATACTCCAAGGGCCACAACATCTCTAGGTTCTTCACTTGCAATGAATCTCCAGATAGAAGTCGTAGGAGAGTAGTATCAATATGAATTGTGCAAAGATTCGGAGCTTTGTTCTCTATCAGTTCCAGTGTTTTGCATCCAAACACTGTCAGGTGGTTGAACTGGTTTAGCAGGCACGGTATCTTCAGGCGGGTGATCTTATTGCATTGGCTAAGATTCAACTCCTTCAAAACAAGAGAATTGGAAAGAAGGCACCATAACTCATCACCAGTGATGTGTACCCGAGACAGATGCAGCTTTCTCAAGCAACCAAGTCCAGCCACGGGATGGAAGGCACAACCTTTGAGGTTTAGATAACTAATCGATTTTCCACTTCCATTGAACAAAAGTGAGCATGGGAAGTTGTAGTACTTTGGATCGTATACTACTACAGGCAGCGAAAGTACAAGCTCTTCAAGCCCTGGGTTAACAGCAATCTTAAACCAACTTTTGAGGCGACTGGTGTAGATACGAGAACCACAGTACTGAAGCTTGAATGTCTTCACACCAATGCCTGTGTGTTTTTTCATAATTTCGTCAACTATTTTGGTGAACTTCAAAGCTAGTTTCTCCTCTCCAGTCCTCAGTGTTCTCTCACAGTAGGTGAGGTTCACGCCCAGTGTTTCCTGACTGAACGTGAGATTGGGGCGGCATCTCCAGGAATGTAAAAATTCACGAGACACACAGGCAGCTCGGGCAGCATCAGGCAGTGGTAGTAGGGCATGTATATGACACCAGATATCCTTAAAAGGTAAGGATGGGAGAAAAAGTTAATTGATGGAGTAAATTACATGCCAGGCGCTCATTGCAAAGTATTATAGCAGTGGGAAGATTAAGTATTACATCAACAAGTGTTTTCCCTTCTAACATTAGTTGCTTCCTAAAAAAAAAGGTCACCTGATTCCCCAACAGGGCTATTACTTATTCCTAAAAGGCACAATAGTGAAATAAACATTCTGGTGTGAACTTTGAAGCTAGCAGAAAGTGCAGAGGAAGCGGAAACTCTTCTTTGTACCTTGCAGAAATTTAGTTGAAGTAAAATGCTTCAAGAATACTGAAGTATCGCACCAGTGCTCCAATTAATCAAAACTGACCGCTTTTAGGTTGAATGAGCATACTTATTGCGGTCTAAAGCTAGAAAGACAAGAGATCATTTCTTCTTTCTGAAGTACCTTAACATAGGCTACTTGATTAGTTTGAACGAGCATACTTATTGCAGTACAAGTATTTCATTTTCAGCATTCTATCTATGCCGTACCTCTGGAAGGTCTGGCCCTGAAAATCGCATTGTTTTGGTGCCTTGAGAATAGTCATCTTGTTCACAGGATGACCTTGCTCTTTTAGACCCTGAAGGGATCGGTATACCTGCAATACATCATGCACGATGATGAATTCATTATGCCGACACTAGAAGAAAGCAACAAATTAAACTCAAGTACATGAATGCAGACACAGAAATTCTACTTTTTTTTCCATTATCTAACTTTTTGCACAGTAAGACAAACTCTTAAAAAAAGTTGTTTCAATTAAGGAAAACGTCAATTGAGCAAAGACAGTTTTGTCTAGAACATTGCAATCTCCACTGCTATCCTCACTCTCTGGTTTCATCTCACAACTCACAGAGCCATGGGCTACCATGATGACAGGTGGCACCTCTCAAGTCTCATATGACGCTCACTATATTTGGGTCTGTTGTTTGAGGGTATATTGCCATCTCATCACAAACAACAATAAACGATCAATACTTTTATCACCGAATTGAGTTATGAAATGCAAGCTGGGGTTAAAAAGTAGCTGGGTTGGAGGAGAACTAGCCCACTGAAACACTCTCCAAAAAGCTGGTGATTCGACAATGCTAAAGGCTATCACGATCAACATTACGAAGAGCGGTGGTGAGGTGCAGAACAGTGCTACATCTGCAATCTGATGATCCCAAGCTCTGCTAGCTCTGCTGGTGGTGTTGTCATTGACGGCTACTATTATGTAATCTCTGGGAGTGTCCTCTGCTGTAGGACTGAATTTTGTGTGAAACTTTGCTGCTTTTGCTTGCTCGTAGGCCTACTTTTGGTGCTATCAGGTTTCAGCATTATGGTGCCAGTGCAGATTGCGGGCAGGCGCACTTGTGTTCCTGATATTGCTTTGAACACTTCCTGATGGATATCACCAAAAACATATGGACAGTGTATTCCAGTCATGTGAGGACTGGAGAGAGGGTTAGCCCGGTTCAGAAAATAAACACTCCCTGGTAGATGGAGGAACAAACTTGCTCTCCGACAAATAAGATTGTACTGTAGCACAATCGACTAAAAATCAGACTGAAACAGCAAGATCATCCCTTATTTTAGATTCCATGATGAAACGGCGATAGAGTAGAGTACTGTACCTGGTGTGGGGTTTGGCGGCTTTATTACTGCCGGCCTGGATTTGCTGGCGACGCTTCTTCATGGCGATGATGAGGTCAGCTAGCCCCATTGCGCGACGACGATATGCCTCTGGGTCGCAGAGAAATCAGGGATACTTCCTTCTCCCGCTGGCTCTACCTATTTGGGGGAACCCCCGCCAAGCGCTCAAAGTCCAGTTTGGATCTCAGGGTTTGGAACGCGGGCCGCCGCCGTAGGGCGAGCGGGCATCAGGACACGACTCCGCCGCGGAGAGAGACAGGACGGGGCACAGGGGAGCTCCTACTCGCCGCTTATTGCGGCAAAGAGCCGATGCTTCGCATAGGGGCGGTCTCAACTGGGCCGGCCCATTTTCTTGCCGCGAGGTAAAAAAATACTAAAAAACTGAGCGATCTGAGGATTCGAACCCCTGACTACAGACTACGTAGTCAGCTGCAGGAGCTGTGCTAGCCGCTGCGCTAGGCTGCCTGCTATGCTACTTTTGCAACGCAATAATTAAAGAAACCAATGACAGTGGCAAAAACTGAACATTCGTAAAGATTCCCAAAAACTAGAGTGTTGCTGAGGGATCAAACCAAGTATCTCCTCTGAGTGAACAAGGTCGCTTGCCAACTATAACTCCTCGGTGTCTATGTCTGAATGGGAGCTTGTCCTATACGAACTACAAGCAACAACAAGGTCGAAACCTTTTTTGAAATTTTGAACTTGATTTCTTTTTGAAAAAAGGTAAATATATTTTGAAACACAAACATTTTCAAAATTGTGAAATAATTTAAACCCATGAACATTTTCTGACAATGTGAATATTCTTTGGGATTCTATTTTTTTTGAAAAAAAGGAACAAAATAAAAAATGAGAACATTTTATGAAATTATGAAGAACTTTAAAAAAGATACAAACATTTTTTGAAAATCAGGAACAAAAATTGAAAACGACAGCACTTTTCAAATATATGATACTTTTCCAAAGCACGAACATTTTTCTGAATTTGTGAACAAATTTGGAAAACTAGAACATTTTTATAATTCCGAACATTTTTTTAAATTTACGAAATATGTTCGTGTTTGCTTGTGAACAAAATTTGAAAGTGGGAACATTTTTTGAAATTATGAAGAATTATTAAAAGATACAAACATTTTCTGAAAATCACGAACAAAAATTTGAAAACGACAACACTTTTCGAAGATATGATACTTTTCCAAAGCACGAACATTATTTGAAGCTACCTGATTTTTTTCGAATTTATGAACAAATTTTGAAAACAACAACATTTTTTGAAATTGTGAACAAAATATTGAAACCATAAACATTTCACTAAATTCTGAACATTTTTTTAATTTGTGAACAAATTTCAAAAGGATTTTGTTGGAAATTCCAAACAAATATTTGAAATTTCTGAACAAGCTCAAAAAGAAAAAAGAAAAAAAATTAAAAATAGAATATAAACCGAATATGTTCAGAAATTCATGAACATTTTTTGAAAATTGCAAACAATTTTTGAAACTGAAACATTTTTTGAAATCCCAAACATTTTTTAAAAAGTTGTCAAAAGTTTGAATAAAAACATTCTTAACAATTTTGTTAACACACAAATATTTTTTGAAAATGCGGAACAATTTTTGAAAAATGCATACATTTTCTTAATTTGTGAACAAAATTTGAAAACATGAATTGTTTTCAAATTCTGAACTTTTTTGTAAAAGCGCAAACATTTTCCAAAAAATGCGAACTTTTTTTGAAAAAGAAAACATAAACTTGAAAAAGAAAAAAGAAAAAAAGAAAAGAAAAACGAAACAGCAATAGAAAAAGAAAGGAAAATAAAACACCGGTTCAGGAACCTTCTAGAAGGTTCCCAAAACCGGAAAAACCCAGCTGGAAACCTCTAGAATGTTCCAAAAACCGGGAGCGCTGGAACGGTTAAACGGGCCGGCCTGTTGCGTCGCTGCTCGGTCGCTCGCATGTGCGAAGCGCCGCAAGTTTGACGCAACGAGCGGCATATAGGATATTCCGGGGCACAGCGCAGTGAGATACTCCGACATGGGCCTGCTGCTCTTGCTCTGGCTCGATTGGCCCATACGTTGGCCTATTTTCTGTTTTTTTACGTTTTTGGTTTCTTTTTTTGTTTCATTTTGTACTTTTGTTTATACTTTAAAATATTTTAAATATATATATATTACATAAAAAATTGAAAAATATTGAATAAGTATTTGAAAAATGTTATCAAGCATTAAAAAAATGCTGAACAAGTATTTGAAAAAAATGTTGAACAAGGAAGGGGTGCGGCAAGGGGACCCGTATTCGCCCTTCTTATTCAATATGGCTGTGGAAGCTTTATCTAAAATGATACTTAATGCTCAAAAGGAAGGCATGTTGACAGGCCTTGCCCCAGACTTGATTAATGGGGGTGTAGCCATACTTCAGTATGTTGATGACATTGTCATCTGCTTTGAGCACGATAGGGAAGCTGCGGTCAACCTGAAACTCCTGCTCTACATCTTTGAGCTCATGTCTGGACTTAAAATAAATTTCCTTAAGAGTGAAATCTTTTGTGTAGGTGGAGATGACGACCTACTAAAATTCTATTCTGATATTTTCAATTGCCAGATTGGGCACTTCCCTATGAGATATCTAGGAGTACATGTGAGTTACTCAATTCTTCGAGCTCTTGACTGGAGCCTTGTGGATTGAAAAATTAGACAAGCATAGAAAAAAGTTCTTTTGGCAAGAGACCAATGGTCGAAGAAGATATCACTTGGTAATGTGGTCCAGAATATGTAGATCTAAGAATAAAGGAGGTTTAGGGGTGAAAGATCTCCACAGACAGAATGTCAGTCTCCTCACCGAGTGGTGGTGGAAACTGGAAACTCAACAAGGCCTTTGGCAGGATGTGATTCGTGCTAAATATCTTAGAAATGATACGGTACCCTCGTTGGAAAGTAAATTTGGGGACTCCCCTATCTGGAAAGCCATTATGAAGGTGAAGGAGGTATATTTGGCAGGGAGAGAGGTGATTCTGAATTATGGGAATATTGCTAGAATGTGGGGTGACACAACCAGGGGTGAAGCTCCTCTGCGAACCCAATCCCCTGCTTTATTCAGTATTTGTAACCACCAGGAGATCACGGTTGCTGACTTCAAAAAATTTGAAGGCAATGATCTCTTTAGAAGACACCTGCATCCTCCCCTTACAGATCAGTGGAATGATCTTGTTAAGGTGGTGAATTCCTGGCCCTTATCTGCTGAATCTGACCAAATTAGTTGGGCTTTGGATAGAAAGAAAAAATTCTCGACCAAGTCGGTCTATACCTACTTAGAAAGACATCTAGCAGGGTGTGATTACAGGTGGATTTGGAAGTCCAAGATCCCCCTTAAGAATCAAATCTTTTATGGCAATTGTTCCAAGATGCTTTCCTGACTAGAGAAGTCATGAAGAAGTGGAACCGGGCTGACAATCCTAGATGCTCGTTCCGCAGATATATTGAAACATCACAACATCTGTTCTTCACCTGTCCCGTTGCTCGGGTGGTTTGGAGGACGGCTGGATGTGTGCTGGGCACGACCCTATGCCTGAACAACATTTGGCAATATTTCTCCTGGTGCTATGTTTTCCTACCAGATGGAGCCAGGTTCTATACCTTTGGCTTGGCAGCCGTGTGCTGGGCAATATGGAATTGTCGCAACCAGGCTACCTTTGAACAGAAACAGCTTAAGACTCCATTTAATGTGGTATATTCTGCTTGTGGTTTTTTGACATACTGGACAGGTTTGATGGCTGGTGCTGATCGGGAAGCAATGGAACACGAAGCCAAGATGCTCAGGACGAATGCTTCGACGATGATGAGAT